GAATGTGTCAGAGACATAATTTAAAATTACCAAACTGAGGCTAAAATAATGTGTCCCTGGATCTATTAACCCTACCTGGCGAGCCAGGTAAACCCTCTTCTTCAGTTTAGAGATGAATTGTTCCATCTCACTCCTATATTTATCCAAGTGTAACAAAAAGTGTTGGCAATAACACAGGCATAACATACTTGGCTAGCTAATAGAAAATCTAAAGCTATTATCACATAGGCTAAAATATGTAGACTTATTTATTGAGCCTCAAGAGTTGTCAGAGTCACTATAGCTTTGGTTAAGGTTAGTACAAATTTCTGAACACATATTCTAATTAATAATCCTACTCTAGGAATCTCCTTTTGGATGGTGCCACAAAAAGTGAATCGGTGATCCCGCTAGGAAATTCTCCAGGTTTTGGGTCATACTAGGTTTTCTTGGGAGAATGAGGAAAAGATGCTCATACCTGTTGATGATAAGACTAAGTGTATTACATGAGTTCCTTCTGGCATTAGGCTATATCTGCTTGCAACAGGGTGGAGTCCAAGATCAGATGATATTATATACATCCATACATTAGGTGGAAGAATAGATAGGTAGATAGGTGCATAGATACATAGATACAGTTAAATATATAGAAACTTAGATACATATGTAAATTCTATGTTAGGTTTTGATATGTGTATATAACATTTTAACTGGAGTAACACTAATAAGGATTGCCAGTGCAGGGATTGGAGAAAGTTGTTTTTCAACATTTTACATCAGATATTTTACTTCAGGTGGGCCAGTAGGAGGAGCACTGTGATAAAGCAAGACTTGAGCAGGGACCTTAAAAGAGGGAGAGTATGAGCTAAGTAGGTGTACCTGGTGTTGTGGGCAGAGGGCACAGGCCAGTCCTGCTGTTTACTGGAAGGAGACGGGTGACGTGGAGGTGTGGAGGTCCCTGCGCAGGAATCTGACAATAATAGGGAACTAGAAGTGCTGGACCTGAGGCTCAGGGAGAGGGAACCTGACACCTGAGCTACAAAGCTGTGAAGCTACATGATACTAAAGCCCCAGCATCAGCCTGGTAGAGATCTGAGTCAAGGGTACAACAGCAATATGATATGACAGAACCTTGTCCCCTCACTGATCATGGCTGGTAGGAGGCAGGGTTCCTTGAAAAAATGTTCATATTATAACATCTAGCAAAAAAAATCAAGGTTGAAAAGTATATATTCATAAATTTTAATTTTTAAAAATTTATATTTTTATTTTAAAAAGAGCACTTACTGCAAAGCATGACTGATCCTTGTTTAAATCTCTGTAAGCCAGGGCTGGTATCTGCTTTATTTCTAATCTATTCCTACTCTATTGAACATTCTTGTTTCAAAATATCAGATGCTTACACGGTCAGTGTGGCTCAATGGTTGAGCATCGACCAATGAACCAGGAGGTCATGGTTTGATTCCTGGTCAGGGCACATGCTCGGGTTTCAGGTTCAATCCCCAGTGTTGTGCAGGAGGCCTATCAATGATTCTTTCTCATCATTGATGTTTCTATCTCCCTCTTCTTTCCTCTCTGAAATAAATAAAAATATATTTTTTTAAAATCCAGCCTCTGGAACCAGAATTAAACTCAAATATACCATTAGACAAGTTATTTAACATCTGTGTGCTCCATCTCCCAATCTGTAAAATGGGATGATAATAGTATCTATCTCAAGGATTAAATGAATTAAACAGGTAAAGCTAAGAGCAGTGCCTGACACATAGTATGTACTCTGTAAATATTTGCCATTATTATTTTTACCAATGAACTGAAAAAGGAAGTAAAGAATTAAATCTTCAATTTGACAGGTGACATAAAGCAATGAAAGTACATACCACAATCCTATGAAAAGACAAGATAATTGAGATATATCATAAGATATTTCCAGGGGGTGAAGAGAGTACAAAGGAGAAGACAAGGTTAATATGTATTAGAACATAAAACAAATTTTATTTTTAAACTGACAGACTCTAAGCAAATGATAATAGCCCAGGAAAGGAACCCAAGCTAATTTTTAAGTGGATAAAGCCCTTTCAAATATCATCTGACTTAGTCATAACCATAATCTGTGAGTTGTATTGCAATCTTTGAAGAAACTGAAATTCAGAGAGGTTAAGTAATTTATGAAGATAGCACAGCAAGTAAGTTGGTGCTGTTTGGACCAGAATCCCTGAATTTTAACTGCAAATTTTGAGTGATGCTATACTGCCTTTTATTTTAAGACAAAGACAATGATGTTTGGGGGAGTAGGGAAATCTATATGTTGGCCATCCCAAATCTGGCATGCTTCCTGTTTTTATTTCTATACTACAACAGTGGAATTGAGTGGTTGCAAAGGAGATAGTACAACCTACAAAATCAAAACAATCTGACCATTTACAGAAAAAGTTTGCTAACACCTGATTTATTTGACTAAAAATAAAGTCAAGAACATTCTTCAACATATAGAAAAAAGTATGAAAGCAAGATTTGTGAATTAGAATGTGTAAGTAACCACAGATCTAAAGATGATTGCTACTTTTTGCGCATAACCAAAAGGCTGAAATAACAAAGCAGAACAAGTGAAAAGGGAGATATGGAATACAAACAGATAATGAAGCATGGTTTTAACAAATGTACCAAAAATAAGGCAGAGTAGCTTGAAAACAATAGTATGGTTCTTCTAAAAAATACTTATTTACATCATAATTTAACATATGTGAAAGGTATTATTGGCACAGTAATTTTGGAACTGAAACAGAAGGGTTAATATAACCTTTGATCTCTATACCTACCATATAAAAGTCTCTCTGTCTTGTCAGGAAAGAATGTCACCCATTCTTCAGTTAAAAACAAAATACAGGAGAATATGGTGCTGAAGGGCCATATACCCTCAATGATGTATCGCAGAAAATGGTCCTGGTTCCAGTTCAAGATGGCACCTAAGAGGGCCCTAAACTCACCTTCTCCCTCAAACATACCAAATCTACAGTTACATTTGGATCAAATTCCTCTGGGGGAAAAAAAACTGGCTAAGTGACTAAGTGACTCCTACACATCAAGCCAAGGAGAGCAGGTAGGAGAGGCTAGAACACAATCTCATCATAAACCCCACACCAGGCACAGTGACCCATAGTTGGGAAGAACCCAAAACCTGGAGCTGCTCCGTGAGGAGCAAAGGGTTTGAACCCTACAACAGGCACCCCAACTTTTAAGATCTTCACCAGTGACAATCCCTTAAGACATCTAGCTTGTAAACTAACAGGGCTGTCATCCACAAGACCATCAAGGCTATAATAATCTGAGAAACTGCTTTTCAGGTGCAGAACTCACTTGCCCCAGGGCCCAGTGTAAAAATGGTGGTCAAGGGCTATCGGGACCTGGTGTGGGAGAAGCTCCTTTGATTTTTGCCTGCCTTGGAGCATGAGCCTGAGGTCAGGCATGTGACGTGACACACATTTGAGGACCTGCTGGAGCGCTCTCCAGAAAGAGACTGGCCAGCGCCATCTTCTCACTCTCCCTATGCAGAGCTCTAAAGCAATGCTTTTCAACCCATATGCCCCAAGAATGTTTAAAACATCCAATACCTAACTATTTAGTCAGGGGCACTGACCTCTTTTCCCTTAGATTGTCAAATTAAAGAAATGACAACAGCCAACACAATAGCTGTCTGGTGTGAATGAATCAAAATTTACCTATTTTTTAAATCAGTTCTGCCCAAAATATAAAATATATTTTGGATTGCTGCAGCATTTTAGTAGTTTATGTGCCATGAGATGAAAAAGGTTAAAAATCACTGCTCTAGAGCGTTAGTATCTCCCCAAGGGGAGCTTTTACATGGGTGCCTGGTGCCCTGGTCTTTGTGGCTGCCATCCAGAGGGTGTCTCTTGAACACCTGGCCCTGGTGGCCAGGGAGGCTGGGGTTCCTGGGTCTCAAAAGACTATAAAAATTGGAGAGACAGTTCTTGGCAGGACTACCACCCCCAGTGCACAGCACAGATAGCAGACTGAAACACAGCCCAGTCTTCTGTGAAAGAGGCCTATTTGCCTGTACTGGAGCTTTGGCCTGAGGGGAAAGCTTTAGGTTGGCTCACATATAGGGGCCTAAGGACAGACCTGCTCTCAGAGAATAGAGGCAAGTGCCCACCATCTTTGTATTCTCCCTCTGCTTCACAGAACTCATCATTATCTCCCAAATAGGAGCTTATATATTCGTTTGAAACCCCAATTTTTGTAACTGCTATCCAGGGGATTGCCTGGCACTGGTGGTCAGCAGGGCTTATGTTTGTAAATATATATAGTCCCACAGACTATATATATTTACAAACTTTAAAAATTGCTACCTGAAATCTGGCTTTCAATCATTCTGAATCTTGGTGCTGACCAAGATCCTCTCCTTGAGACACTGACAGGTCTTGGCACAGCCTCAACTACTGGGAGCCATTAAAAATAAAATGGGCTGACCCTGGCCAGTGTGTCTCAGTAGTTAGAGTGTTGGCCCACACACTGAAGGGTCATGAGTTCAATTCCCAGTCAAGTGCATGTACCTCAGTTGTGAGTTTATTCCCCAGCCCCAGTTGGGGTGTGTGGGAGGCAACCAATTGATGTGGCTCTCTCACATCAATATTTCTCTCTCTCTTTCTTTCTTTCTCTCTTTCTCTCTTTACCCCTCCCTTCTTCCCTCCCTTCACTCTCTTTGAAAATCAATTTTAAAAATATGCTCTGTAGGGGTTAACAAAATAAATAAATGAAATAAAATTAGAAAGTGTGAGATATAACCAAGAGTTAGGGCAGGGTTGAACAATAAGGTTTATCTCCTATATGAAGCCACTTTTTCAAGACTGGGAGCAATGGCTGCTTTATCTAATGCATGGAAACTTTCCCAGGCAGTCAGCAAAATGAAGGCTCAAAGGAATATGTTTCAAACAAAAGAACAAGACCTAAGAAAGATGGTTCATTCTCCATGAAGGTTTAGGGACATAAAATTTATGAAGAGTCACTTGGAAATTTTGTGTTTCAATAAAGCCACTTAGTGATTTTTTCTAAAACCCATAACCTGACTGAACACTCTCCTTATTGCCATCATCAGCTCTCTGTTCCTGAATGTGTAAATGACTGGATTTAGAAATGGAGTTAAAACTGCATCAAATATAGCTAGAAATTTATCCAGATGTGTTGAAGGCAAGGGCCACACATAGAAAAAAATCAGTGGACCAAAGAATAAAACCACCACAATAACATGAGCTGACAGTGTACAAAGAGCCTTGGATGAGCAACCTGAGGAGTGTTTCTGAAGAGTGACCAGGAGGAAGACGTAAGAGAGAATGAGCAAGAAGAAAGCACCCAAGGAAATGAACCCACTATTAGCAGTGACCATGAACTCCAACTTATAGGTGTCTGTGCAAGCAAGTTTGATGAGCCGAGGTATGTCACAATAAAAGCTGTCTACTACATTAGGCCCACAGAAGGGCAAGTTTACCACAAACGCCAACTGGGCCGAAGAGTGAATGAGACCAATAGTCCAGGCAACCACTAAAATCAAAATGCACAGTCGTGGGCTCATGATGGTCAGGTAGTGGAGAGGCCTACAGATGGCCACATATCTGTCAAAGGCCATGGAGATGAGCAGCACCATCTCAGTACCTCCGACAGCATGGCTAAAGAAAATCTGAGCTAAACAACCCCCAAAAGAGATGACTTTCTGCTTCCTGAAAAGATCACAAATCATCTTGGGTGCTGCAATGGAGCAAAATATCATGTCAATTATGGAGAGGTTGGCTAATAGAAAATACATGGGGGAGCGTAAGTAAGGGTCGAACGTCACAGTGACCACTATAAGGAGGTTTCCCATCATACTGGACATATAGAAAAGACAAGAAAAGCAAAAAAGAAGAAGCTGGATCTCCCAGGAGTTGGAGAGACCCAGGAACACAAACTCAGACACCACAGAATGATTGGCTCTATACATTGACTCATTTGGTAGGTGCACTCTTCTGTTACCTAAAGGAAGAAAATGACACAACTCAAATTAATACTATTATATTAATACCCTCTGTGGAAAAGTATATAAATTTTGGCAATCAAATATTACCTGAGCATTTCACAAAAATCAAATAACATTCTGTTGGCCACTGTTGCTGTCATTACTTATGACAGTAACTGAGTTGTCAGGTGGTCTTGCAGGCACAAGGAATGGTGAGCGATCTGGTGGACTGGTACCCATGGGTGCACCTGATAAAACCATAAACAATGGGCATTTGATATTAAATTGCTTTATCAGTTTTGTCACTGTAAAGTATCCTCTCCCTCACTAGATAGGCAAAAGAGGACTATTCCATGACAAAGAGACTTGTAAGATCCTGTGAGTCTGATTTTGCTCCTCAAGCAAGAAATTATCCTATTTTTATTTCCAAAAATATAATTAATTCATTAATATCCAAATCAAACGGTACCTCATGTCTAAGTTTACCCATGACCCACCTACGCATCTACATTTATTTACTGTATTTAGAGTTGGTCACATGTCTATTTCCTCAAGTGATTATAAACTACTCAAGGTTATAAATCATTGTGTCTTTAAATTTTTAATCCCATACAGTATCTTGCAAATATTAGGTAGTGAAAGAAATCTTTTAAATAAATGAATGAGTTACATCAGAGGAATGGCAGTGTGAGAGATCCCCTTGGCCTGTTGCCTGGAAACTTCAACAAGTTTATCAATTATAACTCAAAGAATATCAACAAAGAATTCCCTGCTCAATATAGAAGCACACCTGACAGACCCATGCATTGAAGCATTTAATGGTGAGAAACTGGGAATAAATGAGGAGGCAACAAGGAAGAAGAGCCCAAACAACCACAGATGCAGCCCAGCAGCTTGGCCCAGAGAGGGGAGGAAGTTGGTGGTAGCAGGCTCTTCCGTGGGTCTGGAAGAACAGAGAGTCAAGCTGGGCTCTCCAGCAGGCAAGCAGTGCAAATAGTGGCTGAGTCAGCACAGAGGGCAAGGACACAGCAGAGGGATGGTGCCACAACTGTCTGCTGTTGGGCAATGATGTTTCAGACAAAGAAATGGAGCCACGGAGCTCTGCCACACCTTGAACTCCCAAAACTCATGTCCAGTTGCCCTTGGTATTAGGTCGAGGAGCACATTATCTGCAAACCAAAAGCTATTGCAAGAGAATTGTGGTTTCCCTCTATGACTGATTCCCAGGTGGGGCACACTGGGAGGACCCCATGGAGGTCCAGGGTCATCACGATAGTGGGGACAAAACAAACCCCACCCCCAAGCAGCACAACTGTACTGTCTGAAGAAAGTCAGCGAGGCCAGCTCTGGGAGGTCACAAAGGTAAAAATCTTGTGATTCTGTGCCACCTACTGGAAAATAGTAGAAAGACCTCTTCAGAGAAAACTGGTTGAGAAAGGTCAGCAGTACAATAGATGCCTAGACAGAGGAGACCAGCAAATACCATGAATCGCCATGGTAATGAGGAAGTTCAGAAAGAAAATGAAAACTCTCCAAAAAGCTAGTTGGAACACATGGAAATATGTAATGTAAATGACCGAGAATTCAAGATTGCAGTTCTGAAAATACTCAATGAGATGTGAGAAAATAGATAGGCAATTCAAGGCACACAGAAAACAAATTAATGAACAAAATGAGTATTTTACCAAAGAGATTGAAGTTTTAAAAAAGAACAAATCAAATCCTGGAAATGAAACATGCAATTAAGGACATTAGCAATGAACTACTGACCTATATACTGAAAACTGCAAAGCATTATTAAAAGAGATTGAAAATATAAATAACAAAATGGAAAAATATCTTGTATTCATGGATTGGAAGAATCAACATAGTTAAAATGACCATATTACCCAAAGTAATATACAGACAATGCAATTCCCATTAAAATCCTAATGTCATTCTTTAAAGAAATAGAACAAAAAAATAAGATTTATATGAAACCACAAAATCCCTAATAACCATAACAATCCTGAGGGGAAAAAAGCATAGCTGGGGGTATCACACTTCAAATTCTGTTACAGAGCTATGATAATCAAAACAGCAAGGTAATGGCAAAAAGACACACATATCAATGAAACATAATTGAGAGTCCAGATATAAAACCACATGTATATGGGCTGATAATTTTTAACAAAGGAGCCAAGAAACACACCATGTAGTAAAGGGACTGTCTTCAGCCTGGCTGGTGTGACTCAGTGGTTGAGTGTTGACCTATGAACCAGGAGGTCACAGTTGGATTCCCGGTCAGGCACATGATCGCCAGTAGGGGGCATGTAGGAGACAGCTGATTGATGATTATCTCTTATCATTGATGTTTCTATCTTTCCCTCTCCCTGCCTCTCTCTGAAATCAATAAAAACATATTTTTTTAAAAAAAGAAAGCCTCTTCAATAAATGGTGTTGGTAAAATTGGAAAGACACATGAAAACAAATGAAATTGGACTATAGCTTGTCCCCTTGTACAGAAATTAACTCAAAATGGATCAAAGACCTAAATATAAGATCAGAAACAATAAATTACTTAGAATACAGCATAGGACTAAACTTATGGACCTTGGTCATAGAGAACATTTTATGACGTCGACTCCAAAGGCAAGAGAAGTAAAAGCAAAAATAAATGAATGGGATTATATCAAACTAAAAAGTTCTGCATCGCAAAAGAAACTGACAACTAAACAAAGAGGCAGGATTGAATGAGATATTTGTGAACAATAGCTCTGACAACGGCTTACTATCCAAAATACATATAAAGAACTCATAAAACTCAACACAAAACAAACAACTCAATTAAAAAATGGGCAGAGGTGCTATAAAAAAGAAGGAACTTTTACCATTTGCAGCAGCATGGATGGAACTGGAGAGCATTATGCGAAGCAAAATAAGCCAGTTGGAGAAAGATAAATATCACATGATCTCACTCATATGTGGGATATAATGATCAACATAATTTGATGAACAAGAATAGATCCAGAGACAAATGTTAGGGGAGGGGAGGTTAGAGAGCAATCAAAGGACTTGTATGCATGCATATTAGCATAACCAATGGACACAGACCCTGGGTGCTTTGGGGTAAAAGAAGACATATGTAAAACTTTAGACAATAAAAAAATGGACAGAGGACCTGAACAGACACCTCTCTGAAGAAGACATACAAATACCCACAAATAGCCAACAGATATATGAAAAGATGTTCAAACTCACTAGCAATTAGAGAAATGCAAATCAAAACTGCAATGAGATACCACCTCACGCCTGTTAGAGTGGCTATTATCAACAAGGCAAGTAATAACAAGTGCTAGAGAGGTTGTGGAGAAAAGGGAACCCTCATTCACTGCTGGTGGGAATGTAGACTGGTATAGCCACTATGGAAAACAGTCTGGCAATTCCTCCAAAAATTAAGAATAGAGCTACCATGTGATCTAGCAATCCCTCTCCTGCGTATATACCCAAAAAAAACTTGTAACTATGTAATCTCAAAGATATATGCACCCCTACGTTCACTGCAGCATTATTCACAGTGGCCAAGACATGGAGACAACTGAAGTGTCCTTTTATAGATGATTAGATAAAGAATACTTCTCAACTATAAGAAAGGATGAAATATTGCCATTTACAACAACATGGACAGACCTTGAGAATATTATGTAAATGAAATAAGTCAGGCAGAAAAAAACTAAGAACCATGCAGTTTCACTCATATGTGGGATATAAAACTGAAACTCATAGACACAAACAGCAGTGTTGCGGTTGCCAGAGGGAAAGGAGTTGGGGTTAAGGGGGCCTAATATATGTGCCAGAGACCAATTCCAGCATGACAACAGGGCTGCATCTGGGAATGGCTGAAGGCATTTCCCCAAACCTGAATAGGATACATTAAATTGATACCTGGCTGCCAGACAGCTAAAAGGCATCTTAATCTACATGTTATTGCTTCCTACTGGCCAAACACCTGAACAGCCAGTTGGCTAATTCCCCCATTCTGACAATGTTTCTGTATACCCTTTGAAGTGTATATCTCTGCCTCGCCTCAGGACAAGTTGTGTTAATAAAAAGCATGGGATCCTGGGGACGAGGAGAACCTAAGGCCTTAGACTTAACACCTTAGATCTTAGCTCCTTTAGCTAAGCTCTTCTGACCCCCAAATGCCTTTCAAAATTATATCTCGTCTCCGGACTCTTTATTAGTCTCTGGATTCCTATGTCATCTACGCACAGCCTTTTCCAGATTCCTGAACCTTTCTTAATGCTGGGACAAGAACCCCGGCATATATGGTGACTAAAAATGAGTTGACTTGGATGATGGGCAATATATAGATCTTGTAACTTAGAAATTTACACCTGAAACCTATTTGATCCTGTTAACAATGTCACCACAATAAATTTAATAATAAATAAGTAAATAAATAAATAATAATTGGACTGATTCAACTCAATTAATGTCATGTCCTATTAACTCATTTCCTTCAATAAACATTTATCAAACACCTACTATGTGCTAGGAAATAGTCTAAGCACTACCAATAGAGCAAAGAACAAAAGTACCTATCCCCTTGGATTTATATTTTGGCAGGAAAAAAAAGACAATTAAAAATTAAATACATAGATAGATATATAGATGTCAGTTGATGATTTCACTACGGATAAAAATAGGCAAAGGAGGGGAATAGGGCAGTATGGGGAGTGCTTTTATAATAGAATTGATGAGAAATTTTTGCTGATAGATTGATCAGAACGCTAAAGAAGGTGAATGAGCAAACCATGAAGGTTTGGGGGTGAGGATATTCCAGGTAGAGATAACACAAGATAAAAGCTCTGAGGTGTGAATTCACTTTGTCTTTAACCTGAGTTTTTGGGGGATGGAGCAAGGGGAGTGGTATGTGTAGTAGGGCCTTATGAGCCATAGGACTCTGGTTATCATTCTGAATGAGATAAGTAATTGGAGTTTGAACAGGAGAACAACAAAATCTGGCTTA